CCCTCAGTTGAGAATGAGACAAATGACTTAGCCACTCTCTAAGTTCCCTGGCAAAGTGCTAACCCATAGACACCAGAGTTCTGTGGCACATCCCTGAGTGTTGACTTAATTTGTCGGTTTTCAAGATCATATTATACTCAAATTTTTCCTGTAGACTGCATTTTGGAAAGAGAAGTTATCTAATGGAAGGGACAGAAGGGTCACAAGTTTGGAAAAGTACCCTGTTCTCCAGGACTGATAACAGACTCATTTCTATAGCTCTTTCCATGGCTACCACCATGATAGTTTTCAGGAAGTTTCAATCTAACTAAAAACATCTCCCACACTTGAGCAGTATCTTCCCAACTTTACTGTAGAAGAAAGACAGTCCCTTGAGAAGGTAACTACATGCTGACTAAAAGCAAGTGGGGAGCAAGCAGAGACAGAAGTCTTGCCACAGACAGAGACACCAGTGAAGTGCCAAATCCCAGGGTCCTGCAACCAGGGCTGCAGTGTGGCCTTGATAAGATAAACCACAACTAGGAAGAGATGGATCCAGCCAGGGGCTAGGCACCATAAAGCTACCCCCTTGCTTGTCACAGTCCAAGTACACACTGTACTCTGGGAGAGTAACAAGAAAGAGGGGTGGAATAAAAGCAGACTTTGACGAAAAAGCTAGCTCAGAACGTGCTCTCATCTTGTCACTGCGTGAAGAAAGAATGAAGAGATATCACATAGAATTGCTTATAGGGTGAACTTAAGAGTTACCGTCAGGAAGGCTGATGTTAAAAAACACAGATGTTAACCTCAGCCACCCCCCTTTCTGGGTCATGGTGAAGTCATTAGCAGCCCTGGATGAAGCCATTCCTTCAAGTGAGACTGTGAAGAAAATGAAAAAGGCACTTGACTTGGGGGAAAAAAAATACCTTAAAGAACACAAAAGGCCCTCAAAATCCTTTATTTGCTGAGAACATACCAGTCATTGTGCAAAACAAAACTGTTACCTACTCTTTCCTCCCATGAAGCGTGGGGTCTACATACAAGTTAGATGGTTACAAGTGACCCTTTAATCTAGAAATTTAAAAAAACCTTCAAAAATTGTTGTTTTTATCTAAATTAATTGCCAAATTTTAAAAAGAGATGGCACACAGAGCACTACTGTTCTGCAGAGAGTGGAGGATCCTCCCACCCTGGAGCCACATTCCTGCCAGCAGGATAGGGTGTAGTAGCTGCTGCCCCCTTCAGATGGAACACGTTCTCTCCATTCTCCACAGTCCTCAGTGTCATCCTGGTCTCCAAGAATTAACAATTTTCTTTGGAAAAAAATATTTTTCTTTTTAAAAAATTCACTTTAATGTATATCTTAGATATATAAACATATATATGTATACATATACGTATATGTTAGGTAACAAAATAAGGAAATAACCAAGGCTACATAGGAAAAAGTTAGATACTGGTCCCAGGAAGAGCAAATCCAAGAAACTATAATAGTGATCAAAGAACTATATTCTAATAAAAAGCACCATGTTTAGGGCCTCACTGGTGGCACAGGGGTGAAAGACAGAGCTGTCAAGCTATGGGCAGCCAGTGAGCTGCCCACATGGTGCAGCAGGCCTCTCCTGTCTTGTCCGCCGCTCCCCTCGGCAGTGTACTTCTGTCAATCTGCCTGTTCTGTTTCCCACTCTGTCTCTGGTGAATCCTCTCACTCCCCACATCTCTGGCCTGTACCCCAGCTCTTGTATGCCTAAATAAGTATTTTTTTAAAAAAAAAACAGCAAAAGAAAGAATATGTACTATAAGGAAGTATCCTATTTTCAACAAAAAAGATAAAGTAACTAGGAATAAACAAGAAATGTACAAGATTTTAAAACAAGCCATTTCTGAAACAACTGGAGAAACTGTTTATGTAGATTAAATATTAAATAGTATTAAATAGGTCATTGCTAATTTTGAAAAATAGTAAAAATATTGGGATTACATATAACATGTATTTCAAAAATTTCTTACTTGTTCAAGATATATTGTGAAATATTTATGAATGAAATCTTTTAGAGGGGAAGGGAAATAGATGATTCAAAATCAGAAAACAGAAAGCAGCACAGTGATGGACACATGGAGGTTCATCATCTTGTCTTCTCTCCTTTTATATGTTTTAAATGTGCACAAAAGAAAGTTAAAAGAAATGTCTGGGAAGACCCAAACCATGAAAGACTGTGAAAAACTTAAGTAATGCCAAAGATACATAACAGGTTTAGAAAACACACCCAAAAAGCCACCTATCCTAAACCTACAAATGCTAACTAAGACTACAAATCAGACATGGTCTTTTTTTCATCAATCAAGTAGTAATAAGGGGGAAGAAGGCATAACTGCTAGAGGATCAATCAGTACAAATTGGAGGACACTTTGGCTTTACCTTTCGAAGTTATAAACACACACCCATTGGCCCAGCAATTCCACATCTAGGAATTTATCCTAGACATTCATTGAGCAAATATCTTTCTACCATTCACTATGTGCCAGGAACTGGAAATAGAGAGGTGGTGAAAACAATGTTCTTGCTCTCATAGCACTTCCATTCTAGTGGGGAAGGAGATAACTCATAAAGCAAGTCAAACCCGACCATTACAAGGTCAGGTAAGGGATAAGCATATGAAATAAAAAGTATAAGGGGGACCTCCCTCGTGGCACAAGGGGTTAAGTCTCAGCACTATGAAGCTATCTGCAGCCACTGCAGCCATGAGCTGGAACCCTGGCCAGGGAGCTAACCCAGGACACAGCAGAGCCACTACTCCCCTCAGCAGTGTATTTCAGTAGATCCGCCTGTTCTGCTTCCCACACTGTCTCTGGTGAATTCTCATCCCTCCCCTCCACACACACACCTCTGGCCTACACCCCAGCTCTTGTATGCATAAATAAATAAATCTTTAAAAAGAAAGAAAGTGACAGTTGAGCAGGGGCAAGACTGAAGAAAAGAGCAAAGCAGGAGAATGCTCAGAGGAACAATCCAGGCAACAGACCAGCAGATAACACACACAAATCTGACCTTTCCAACCTCTGCTTTTCTTTTTATTCCCCTAGCAGACTTTTATTTATCCAAAGGATATGAGCACCACTTGGATGTCTCTATTTCCTGATTAAAAACTAAAAATTAATCAGATCCCCTCAACACAGTTCACCTTTAAAAAAAAAAAAGGATTTATTCATTCATGCATACAAGAACTGGGGTACAGGCCAAGGGTATGGGGGGTGAGAAGATTCACCAGAGACAGAGTGGGGAACAGAACAGGCAGACTGACTGAAATACACTGATGAGGGGAGCAGCGGGCGAGACAGGAGAGGTCTGCTGCACCATGTGGGTATCTCCCTGGCCAAGGATCAAACTTGTGCTGCAGTGGCTGCAGAAGCCTCATAGGTTGCATCTCAACCCCTCAGGCCACCAGGGAGGCCAATACAGTTCATCTTTCAAGAAAGGTGCATGGCAATATTGGTTCCCCAAACCTCATTGTGCATATAACAATCTGATTTTTACAAAGGAAAAATTTCCCAACCTAAGTATTATGCCAAGTCTCTTAATAAAACTGCATTAAAGCCAATCAAAAAATTTTAATACAGATAAACCATACCACAGGATAAAAGGTTAATTTCACAAAAGATAGTGATCAGTTGTGCTTTATACAAAAATAAAAACATTGTCAGTCCCTGCCCTTCTGGTGGGATTGGGAACCACTACAGTTTAATTTCATGACCTTTTAAGCAAAGAAGTTGAAATTTTGATGGGACTATTTGAATATTGTCATTTAAATTTTTATTTACCTAAATAGCCACATTTATAATTTCATGGCCTTTTAGGCAATGAAGCTAATAATTATCTGGAGGTATTATCTGGATAAATAGTTTACACTGAAAGGCTAGCATCAATGACTCTGCCACAACACCTGAAAACATTACATACCAATTTTTTCAACCACCATGAAATGTCACAACTTCAAAACTGCCAGGAAGATATGTTCCGCGAACAGTCAAATAAATAAGGAACTAGCATATGGGGGGAGAAATTTGTCCCTGTGAAATATGCTCCTATCTCAATTTTGAAATCAGCTTTACATAAACGCATTCATTTTCTACCCAAAAGCAGAAAGCAAATAATCAAAGGACTTCTCACGGAGATTCCCAGGGTGACAACTCAAGTGGACAGATTTCAAGCACCACGAGTCACCTGCGCAGAGAACGTCAGGTTTCTCATCAACATCTGAGGAAGCGATGCAGCCGTCCCTTCCCGTGGACCAGCAGACCTTTTAACCTTCTCGAAAAGGTTCTGCAGTTCTGAGCGGAGAATGCCACTTCTGACAAGCGGCGACCCGCGAAGAATTCCGAAGTGAGAAACCAGATATCTGTAAGCTTTCGCACAGGCCAAGCCACTTACCACCGGCGCTCGGTTTCGAGTCCAATACAGAGAAGGAGATCGAGGGGACCTCAACGTTCTCAGGGTCCGGCGCCCGCTCTCCGGCATCTCACCTCTAAAGGACCGGGCGTCCGGAGGCCTCTTCCCCAGGGACGCCCCCTCCACACCCCCTACTCCACGGCTCCGGGCGGCGATTTCCTCGCCGCTCCAAAACCCCCGGAGAGACGCTCTTCTGAAGGGCTCCCCAGTAGCCCCCCTGTGAAAGGGTAAGGGTGTGGGGTCGGGTTCCGAGCGCGGGGTGAACGGGTTGGGGGGAAGGGGCAGGAGGCGGTGAGGACGCGGAGGTCCAGAAGGACACCACGGGGATGAGCGGGCAGAACCCCGCGGCGGGCACGGAGGGAGGGGCTCGCCCTGCCTGCGGGCCGCACTGGCGGGCCAGGGGCGAGGCAGGCGTCTGGAGAAGGTCGGAAGAGGTCAAGCCGGGGATGGAGGGCAGGTGTGGGGCGCTCGGCGGGCGAGTAACTCACGGAGGGAGTAAGAGGGTTTAGGGACGGCGCGGGGGCCGCACCTGCCCGCCAGGTAAGGCCCCCCCCAACCCTGCGCCGCGCCTCACCTGCCCAGCGCCCGCTTCATGCCCGCGTCGGCGGCGCAGCGCGGCTCCGCCGGTCCCTTGCCCGCCAGGCGCAGATTCTGCTTCAGGCGGCAGTCGGCGTCCAGCGCCGCGGCGGCCGAGCCGGAGGAGGACGAGCCCGAGGCGGCGCAGCGCTCATGCTCCAAAGCGACGGGCTCGGTCCGCTTCCTCATCCCGCGGCCAACACGGCCGGCAGCCGACGGCGCCTGCTGGCCTTGCCCACCCGCCCTCGCCTCTGTCGCCGCGGCTCGGAGCTGCCGCCGCGGAGCTCACCCCAGCTTCACATCCCAGCCCCAGGCCTCCGCGCTCGGCTGGAGCTACAGACCGGCGCCGGGGGCCCGGTCGGCCGCGCCGGCCAATCAGCGCCGGGCTCAGGCTGACCCCGCCCCCCCGGGCTTCCTCCTCCCTGGTTCCCCAGGGGGTGCGCCCAGCATCCCTGGCGCCGACCTGCGGCCATCTTGGAAGAGGGCGAGTGAAGCCCAGACGCGCGTTCTTGGCCGGGCAGGGCGAACTGGCCAAGTCTCGCTGCTCTTGGGTTCGAGGGTCTGTGTTGATGGTGGGGGTGGCCATCACCTAGGTGGTCAGCGGCGTGGGCCAAAGCACGCAGATCCGTGCCCCACAATAGGGACGGACGCAAGGCAGAAAGGGGCCAGCCAACGAGCTACAGCCGGAGCTGAAAGCTTGTTCCCTGCGCATCCCCCCCAGGCTTCCTGACTTCCCCCTAACACTGGAAACTCGATTTGGATAAGGCCCCGGAAACGATCTTATAAAAGGTTTATAAGGACAAAAGGGAAAACATAACAAATTACAGTTCTCTTCTTTTTACTTTAAAAAGATGCTTTCGGGTAGTTTATTTATTTATTTCGGGTAGAAACACAAATGCATAGATGTTTTTACTTTGGGGGTGAACATATGTAAATTGAGCTGCTTAAATACTTCTTAAAAACCTGTAGTAGATTCTAGATTTTTATAAAGCAATCAAAATTATTTGATGGGGGAAGAATAGATTTCAGAGATAAATTCACCCTTGTGAAACATTAAGTACTAATTCAATCCATCCCATTAAAAGAGAAAAAAGAGTAGTTTCACAAATTGGGTTTTATAGCTTTGACTTTCTTGAATGTGGTGTTTTGTTTTTATGATCTAAAATCAAGAGATTTGCTTACTTATTTAAAGTAATTTTTAATTTCAACATTTGTGTCAGGAAAACTTAGGAATTTGTAATTTAGGATAAAATATAAGTACCTTTAAAAATACAGTGGTTCATTATATTACTACAGCTTTGTAATATTTCAAAGCTGCAAAAGAATTTCATTCACCGTGTTACTAAATAGAACACCCAACATTTATATTTCTGTGGGTATCTCCAAATAACACTTTTAAAATTTTTTTTTGCTTGTTGATGCATTTTATTTTAGAATTACAAAAGCACTTTGCATTAGTTTTCTGCAAATTCCTGTGAAAAAAACTTGATAGTGTCCAAAGTCAGAAATTGCCAAACAAACCAATGAAGCACCAAAGTAGTAATTAGTGAAATTTGTGCACACATCCAGAAGACAATTTGCAAACAAAATGGAGTGAAACTGAGGAATATATTGCTATACAGCAGCTTCTACAGACAAAAAGTTGCACTATGTATTTTTCACAGTAATTGGTTATAATATTATGTGTTTTAAATAATGGAAAAATTTGTCAGTAGCTACCTCACATCAACGTTAGAAAACAATTCAAGTTTTCCTTATAGTTTCAATGGCATAAACAAATAATGAGGTGAAGTTAGTTTCACGTAATAACCTTGTTTAGGTTTTGTTTGTTTTGATGAGAAAATATGTTATTGAGCAAATGAATATAATAAAGCTTCCAGCAGAACTTCCAGCCCAGGTGCAATGAACATTCCAATGCAGGCATAATTAACAAGTTTGCTTACTTACAGCTCCTTGCCTTTCAAGATTCATGGCCAGGGTCAGAGCACTCTTATCTACAAGGTCAGGCAGCCAACCAGCTGGTCTGTCTCTCCAAGGCCATCCCCAAATGCCTGCATCTTTTCCCTCTTGCCTTACCCCCTTGTCTGGACTTTGCCACAAATGGTTGTGCCTGCTGAAAAATGATGTTATCAATGTAACAGATATGGACACAGTTTTGTATAAAAGGAACCCTTGGCCTTTAAAAGGGTGCTCAGGTCTTATGGGCCTACCCAGGTCTGGGACCTCAAGCATGAATAATAAAGCTTCTCCTGACCTCACCATTCCTGAAGTACTGCTGTTCTTCCTCTGCCTGGGTAAAAGGCTAGAATTTATTTCCACAACGTTCTGACTGTTTTAACTGCTCAGGGAATTTTCGAGACTACTTCCGTATTTATTAACAGAAATATATTAGAGAGTAAAATAGAGAGAAAGAAGATGCCTATGTTCCAGGTGTTAAAAAAATAAACATACTATCTTTGCTATTTCTTGTGACTATATAATTAGTTTTTAAAACAAAGATAAAATACACACAGAAAAAAAAAAAAGCCAAAATCTTCAGATCATATTATATAATACTCCAAGAAGCATCCATGAACTATAGGAAGAAAAATATCAAATTGCAAAATCTTTCAGGGAGTTCATTATTTGTGGGACAGAATTCAGAAACAAACCCTAAGTTTTTCCTCTAAATGTGGAAGTATGGATATGAGATCTGTTATTCAAGTGATAAGATGAAACTTCTCCCAATTCATAGTTCAGAAAAATACCAGTTTGTTGAGTGTTTATTCTATCTAGTGCAGTGCAGGTGCCAAAGTAGAGTTGGATTCACCAGTATCCTTATTTTGGGGATGATGAAGTCATAGTGTTTCTGGGAAAAGATTCATTATAGACACCATTGCTTTTTATTTCTACCTGCCAATAATACCTGCCAGAATCAAATCCCATAAAACACAGGACAGCAGGAAAAAATTGAAATTCTTGAGTCTGAGAGAAGTTTGCTTTTGTCTTTCCTAATGTCACAGTTTTTCCACCTTCTGAAAAAAGTTTGGGGTGTGCAATTTCAATATCTAGTGTCCAGATTGACAAATAATCTCACCATTTTCCATAGGCTGCAATACTGTTCAAGAAACGCAATACATTTTTGTTGTTGAATTCATATGAAAACAGTGTTAGAGTGCTTGGGTTTTCATACCTGTTGTAGATACTTTCAGTGTTTGTGAATAAATCCAGTTCAGACTGTGCCCATTATCTCAATAAAAGCTTTCTCCGTGTGAGTATGTGTACTGAGAATTCTACTTTGTTTTCATTCAGTTTTTTTTCAACTCGAGTAATTGTAGTTTATTTTCCTCTTTCTAAGGAAATTCTTACTTTGTTCAATATCAGAATATAATTCATTCTTTTGATTCCCTACCTTCAAAGTCAAGTGACTTGACTTTTAAATTGGCATTTCATGCCTCTTTTCAAAGTCTTCAGCCTGCTTCCTCAGGACTCAGTGTAACTTTTGAACTTCCTTCCTGTGACTATCTACAGTGGGTTCAGTGGGCATTAGTGCTGATCCTGGTGGTGGGAGGAGACCTGTTCTGGGAGCAGAGTGTTCCAGGTCCTCTCAGAAATGGCCAAGACCTGATTATGCTTCTCATACAGGGGTTTCTCTTCCTGCATTTGTTCCCTTTCGTGGGAAGATGATTATCAATGTCAGTCATGTGACATAATTGTGTGTTCCTCTTGATGTTCCTGTCAGAGGTGTGGTGGGGGCAGAAGGGAAAGGGTAAGACATCCTCTAGATCGTCCCAGCACTGGTGAATGCAGGAGACACAGGAATTGTGGCCACATTAGAGTCACTGGGTCTCTCAGTAAACCAGGCAAAATAGGCAGTGTCTCTGCTCGGAGCTGTGCTAGGAAGGCAGCTAAGGTCATTGTCAGGGTGATGTCCATCTCAGAAACTCCCCTAGAAAGGTCTGGTTCTCCAACAGCTGTTGGTTCCTCTGTCCTCACTCTCTTTCCTTACCAGCAGATCCTAGGAAGCCACTGTTCCTTCCTGTACTTCTTTATTCTCTTCAGTTCCAGAGAAAGGTACCATGAGGATCCACCAAGCAGACATGTCCCTGGAACATCTTTTGCCTTTGGTATCACTCAAATTGTAGCACAGCTATGGAGTCCTATTGGCCAAGAGAGTGTCATAACCCTTATTACCAAGTAGTTCCTGTTGCTTACCTCCATTGGTTGCTCCAAATGTGATTTTGGAATTTATTTTTTTTTAAGATTTATTTTTTTATGCATACAAGAGCTGGGGTACAGGCCAGAGATACAGGGGGTGAGAGGATTCACCAGAGACAGAGCAGGAAGCAGAACAGGTAGACTGACTGAAACACACTGCTGAGGGGAGCAGCAGGCGAGACAGGAAAGGTCTGCTTCGCCATGTGGGTTGCTTCCTAGCAGGCCAGGGATCAAAATCATGCTGCAGAGGCTGAGGATTGCTTCATAGTGCAGTGCTTAAATCTTTGTGCCACCAGGGAGGCCCTGATTTCGGAATTTAAAGGGTGAGTTCTTTAAAGTGTTATAATAGCACTTATTAGAAAATGGGAATCCAGAAACTAATGTATAAAAAAGATTTTGACCCTGTCACTCACAAGATCATCTTTAGTAGAAAAACAAGGAAGGAAGGGCTGTAGAGAAGAGAGAAATGTTGAGTATTGAGTTTCTCTGAATGGCCATATAGTTCTCAACTATTGATCCACACTTAATTTCTGAGTGGTATTAGCCAAGCTTTATTTGTATTTCTAGTCTACAAACAATAATCCTTTAGACCTCAAGATCCTCTGCCCAGTGGTTTACTCACCCTCTCCAATATCCTACAGCATCTAAATTTACTACTTTCAAATATTGGTTCTATTTTCTTTTTTCTTTAAAGATTTATTTATTTATTTATACAAGCACTGGGTACAGTGAGAAGCGCGGGAGGGTGAGAGAATTCACCAGAGCCAGAATGGGGAACAGAAGAGGCAGACCGATAAAATACACTGCTGAGGGGAGCAGCGGCTGTGGCAGGAGAGGTCTGTGGTGCCTTGTGGGACCCTTGCCCGTGGCCGGGGATCAAACCAGCATTGCAGAGGTTGCGGGCAGCTTCGCAGCCCAGCGCGCAACCACTGCGCCACCAGGGGAGGCCCCTCAAATACTAGTGCTTAACCCTTATCCCCAACTTCATCCATAACCTTCCCTACCTCAAGAATGGCAATGCCATCCTTGCATTTTCTCAGGTTAAAACCCTGGGATCATCCTTGCTTCCTCTTAAACTACTGCAAGTCTCTCACCAAGCCTTGTCAGCATGCTCTTTAAATTCAA